CCCGGCTATTTTTTGGTTGCAGCCGTCATTGTTGTTTGGCGGGTCCGGGCTGGGGATTCGAACCCGCCACCTTAGGTGTACATGGCTGGCGCCTTAGCTGGTTGAGCTATAGGAGCCAAGCCAGACCAAGCTTATTGAAAATGGATCTGATTCAGCTTTGTATCTGGCTATTGGCAGAATACCTGGCAAACAGCATTTAAAGTATTTAATGAATCTGATGAAAGGAAGAGAGAACAGGAAGTCATCCTGATGTCTCCTTTCCTTTTTTTGTTTCCCTCCCAGATGACGTAGCTGGCTGAATCCTTTACTTGATTCCCCATATAGAAACAATAAGTCTATTAATTTTCTATTTAAATATTTCTATACCTCATGTCCAACTGCTATTCAAAATCTCTGGACAATTATATAATAGACTTTTACCAATCGGAAGAAAAACCACAGTCTGGACAATTACAATAGCCTCCATATTTTTACCCCATGCCTCCATTCTAGACCTTACATGCCTTCCACAATGTTATCTGTGTAGTGGTATCATTGTTTGAATTTGCATTTCTCTGTTGGCTAATGATGCCAAGTATCTTTTCACACTTATTGGTCATTTGGAATCCCTCTTTTCATGAGTTGTCTGTTCTTTGTCAATCTTTTTTTAACTGAGTAGTCTTTTTTCTTATTAATTTTCAAGCATTCCTTATACATTGTGTAGGTAAGTTTTTGTCATGTATGTATTTATATACACACGTACTCTTCAATATCTCAAAATTAAATACCATTTCTTGGTATGTTGGCCTGCATTCTCACACTCTTTAGGATAAGAAAAAGCTGCTTTAGGATAAGAAAACTTTCATTTAATAAAGTCTAAACTTTTCTTTGTAAAAGCACTATAATAACAAAAGATTATGTTTATTAATAAATGTCCTAGATCAAAGATTTAATCTAGATCTTAATATAAAAAAAACTTAATGTTTCACTAAATTTGAGGTTTTTAAAAAAACTTAGATTACATGTCTTCCGAGAAATGATACAACTGAAGCATGAAGTCATTTCTTCCTTTAAATACTGCATATTAAAATTGCTGGAATTAGGAATGCTAAAAAGCAAAGCATTCTCAGGCAATGAGCACATGAGCAAATTATCTATGCCAGGCACCAAATTTCACCCGGCCTCAATAGTCAGAAATATAAAACAGGGGGGTTGGGCTACATGATTGCTAAGGCATTGGGGCCATTTAGAACTTTATTACTAATTCTTTTTTTTGAGACAGAGCCTCAAGCTGTCCCCCTGGGTAGAGTGCTGTGACATCACAGCTCACAGCAACTTCCAACTCCTGGGCTCAAGCGAGTCTCCTGCCTCAGCCTCCCAAGTAGCTGGGACTACAGGCACCCGCCACAACGCCCAGCTAGTTTTTGGTTGTAGTTGTCACTGTTCTTTGGCAGGCCTGAACTGGATTCGAACCCACCAGCTCAGGTGTATGTGGCCGGCGCCTTAGCCGCATAAGCTACAGATTCGCCCTAAGCCTTTGTTACTAATTCTTTGATGAGCTCTGAGTATGTGCTTTTTTCACAAGTGTAAGGTACTAAAAAGTCAGGCCTACTTCACAGTCATGTTTGTGTCTCCAGTGACAATTACTTGTGCTGTGTTACAGAAGACACTGTAAAGATGTGAAAGCAAACTATCAAAAAAATCTCCTTATGTGGTTTTTTAAAATTGCGAACTTGATGAACATGTTAACTATACTAAAACTAATATACAAAATTGATTTTTAAAAAGTTTTTAACCATTTCTTTCTCCATTAGGACCTTTACTCTTCCAACTCCTTCTAGTGCTCTGCTCTTCTCAACTCCGTTCTTCTATTCAGCAAAACAAAAGCACAGCAGCTAGTTAGACAAACTTTCCCCCTAAAGACAGGGAAGGGAATGACTACAGTGATTTATTTTGTATTCTTCCCAAACCCTTACAATAAAAGTTATAATGTATTTGTGAATAGCATAAGATCAAAGTAAAGTTGGTTATTTTAATCTCCACAACAAAAGTAATTTTCAGAAAAACCATTTATCATAAATGTAATTTTTTAAATAAAAAGTCTTGCATACAAGCGACCATTTTTAGAATAAAAAATATTGTATACTTAATTTCAACAGTAGATGAGCTCAAGAAGCGGTTTCAACTAGTTCTTTTAAACTCTGGTAGATGGAATGTTTCTTCTCTAGGAATAGGTCTTTGAGTCATACTCTCCTTGGTCTACAGGCCCTGGGCAACACTAGACTTTTTTTTTTTTTTTGAGATGGAATCTCACTTTGTTGCCCTCAGTTGAGCACAGTGGCATCATAGCTCACAGCAACCTCAAACTCTTGGGCTCCAGCAATCCTCTTGCCTTGGCCTCCCAAGTAGCTGGGGCTACAAGTACCCACCACAACACCCGGCTATTTTTATAGACCAGGATCTTGAACTCCTGAGCTCAAGCAATCTGCCCACCTTGGCCTTCCAGAGCGCTAGGATTACAGGTGTGAGCTACCACCGGGCTCTGAGTAACACTAGACTTTTCCCACCCCCTGGTGCATACTGGATCTTTGCCATGTTAGGCATGTTCAACCAGGAAGATATCCTTTTTAGAAACCATTCTATGGCATTCTGTAAAGTACCTCCTAACCTATTTCAGGTTTGTAACTCTGGAAGTCTCACCCTGCCCCAATTCCATTTTGTCTCCTATTTAGATTCAATGAAATACATTCATTTAATGGGAATCCAGAATTATTACTTTTTATAATATCAAAATAAAACCCTGTAATAAATAAAAGCAAGAGCTTATTTATACTTTTAAAATCTTCAAAGATGTCTGCAGAGCACATTAGAAACTGAGTATCGACCAGCAGCAGAAACTAGAATTTAAAAGTCAGCATGTTAACAAAAGAAACTCTCAAAGTACATTAAAAATGTTTTGAAACTTCTCTAGTTTTTACAGAAGAAAAACATAAAAATCCCTAGAAGTAATAAATATTTTTGCTTTTTTGAGACAGAGTCTCACTTGTTACCATCAGTAGAGTGCTCTGATATCATGTATGTATAATACCTGATTATCACTTATAATTTTACATCGTCTATATTCATGTGTCAGTTTATAATGTACTAAGTCATTAAATAGAAATGTCTTACTTCAGATAAAAAGCCTAGCTTATTATATCTCAAACAAGAAGCCTAAACTATCCACACAGCTTTGCCATGTTAATGGCAGCTTGTGTGTGCCAGCAGTGAAGAAGACTGCAGAACAAGTGATGATGAAATCACGGAAGGCATTTTCCCCAGCTGGTTAGGAATGGAATTTTTTTTTTTTTTGAGACAGAGCCTCAAGCTGTCCCCCTGGGTAGAGTGCCGTGGCTTTACAGCTCACAGCAACCTCCAACTCCTGGGCTCAAGCGAGTCTCCTGCCTCCGCCTCCCAAGTAGCTGGGACCAGAGGTGCTCGCCACAACGCCCGGCTATTTTTTGGTTGCAGCCATCATTGTTGTTTGGCGGGTCCGGGCTGGGGATTCGAACCTGCCACCTTAGGTGTACATGGCTGGCGCCCCAGCCGGTTGAGCTATAGGCGCCGAGCCGGAATTTTGTTTTTTTAAAAACAAAAACTTGTCACCCTTGGTAGAGTGCTGTGGTATCACAGCTCACAGCAACCTCAAACTCTTGGACTTAAGTGATCCTCTTGCCTCAGCTTCCCAAGTAGCTGGGACTACAGGCTCCTGCCATGACACCTGGCTATTTTTAGAGGCAGGGTCTTGCTCTTGCTCAGGCAATCCACACTTCTTGGCCCCCCAAGTGCTGGGACTATAGGCATGAGCCACTGTGCCTGGCCTGAGAATAGGTATTTTTCCTTGAAAGAAGTGGTAGTCAGCTGGTATAAGGTCTGGTAGATATGGTGGACGACATAGAATTTCCAGCTTCTGTAGTTTGAATAGCACTGTTCGTGAGGCATGTGGTCGAATACTGTCTTGCAGGAGGATTGGCCTGTCTCTATTGATCGATCTTGGCTACCTAATCTCAAGCATCCTCATCATTCTGTCCAAATGGTTACAGTGATAGCCCCTTTAATCAACTGAACACATTTCAGGAAGCTGTAGTGGATAATACCAGTGCTGGACCACCAAACAGACACCATTAGCTTTTTTTTGATGAATGTTTGGTTTTAGACTGTGTTTAGCACTTCATGTTTATCCAACCACTGTGCCAAACACTTGTGGCTGTCAAAATGAATACATTGTTCATTACATTTAACAATGCAGAAGGTGCAGAAATGGTTCACCTTTACATTGTGACAGCAAAGAAAGGCAAGCTTCCAGACAATTTCTCCTGGGATGTGATTTAATTAATGTGGAACCCGTCTAGCCAGCTCTTTTACCTTGTGGATTTATTTCAAACGGTCCAATATTGTTGGAATAGTAATGTCAAACCTTGCTGCTAATTCACACATACGTTGAGATGGACCCGCTTCCACTATAGCTTTCAGCTCATCATTACCCACCCACCCACCCATGTCGGTCTCAAGTGGCCGACATGGCTCATTTTCACAATTAAAATCACTAGAATGCAACTTCTCAAACCACTGACATTCATTAGCCACGGCCTTCCCAAACACTTTGCTGGTATTTTGAGCTGTCTCTGTTGCACTGGTTCCACAACAGAACTCATATTATGTCTTCAAAAAATAACACAAATTTTTGACTTCTTCATGGTTTCACAAAAATTGCTCTAAAAATTTTTTGAAAGATAACCACAACCCAAAACATGTGTTTGAAAGAATGAGGATGTACCTTCATAATAAAAATAAAACAAAAAATGTCAAAGTGAAATGTCAGCAGTATTAACTGTCAAACTTAGTACTTAAGGAAATCAGACATTTCATACTTAATAATCTAATATAATGCTTAAAATTCATGAAACTGTACCAGAGCATTAAAAATTTTCCCCTAATAATTAATCTATTTCTGTTACTATCCAACTTTATAACTTCATGTACAAAATTAACTCTCTTCATAGCTCTATGAATGAAATATAATGTTTTTCAGGATAAAATGCATGTAGCAAAATTTTCTATCACAATAAATCATTAACATGGGATCAGCAGTGATTGATTCAAACACGCCTCCTTATGGTCACATTAGTATTTCCAGCAATTCTGCCTTACTGTCATGGATAATTGCCTTGTAGATGTCAGCATGTTGTTCAGAATACATACCTCTTGTGCAAGATCTTGTGCATTGGAGATAAGAGGAAATGGAGGACTGGCCTTGTTCATGTGTACAGTGACAGCGTTGTGTATCTTAAATGCATTCTGGAAATCTTTATTCTGAACAAGTTGTAAAAGTAGTGAAATATCCTCCTGGCTCTGAGAATCTACCAAAGTATGTTGGATATGTTTAAGTGAAGAAAACAAGTCTTCTACTTCTAGCAGGAAAAGAAAAAGATATTCAAAAATTAATTTCTTCAGTCTTAATTCAACATCTGTTTTAAGAGAGTTTTCCAATATTGTTATTTCCAGTAACAATACACATTTCCAGGAAAATAAAAATTCAGCATATATTTTATAGTGTCAATCACTGTCATTTTACTAACTTATAAATAAAACTCTTTAAATTGTATAACAGAATAACCTGCATATTTTTAAGTGTTGCAACTATAAGTTTTTTGCTCACTATAAAATGAGGGGAAGAATACAGAAATAAAGGAACTTAAAACCACCAATAATCCCCTCATCTAAAAAATAAGACTTTTTCCTTAACATCTTAAGACTATTTCTTCCTTTCATTGAACAGTACACTGTAATTCTTTTCCCACATCACCCGTCTTTTACAACATGATAGATAGTGGCTCTATGATATTCTATTACATGGTTAACCTATTTACAGTAACCACTGCACTAAAGTTGAGCATTTAGGTTGCTTCCAATTTTTTTGCTACTGTTAAGTAATAGTAAGCATTTTAGTGCATAATAACTATTGCTGCATATAAACTTGTCTGAGGTTCTAATGTTTTCTTAAAATAATTCCTAGAAATAGAAATTTTAAATAAGATCTTGACATTTTAAAAGTCAAACAGCATTCTAGGGAAGTTTTACTAATTAACAATCCCATTAGCAATACTTTCACCAATATTCCATGCTGTCATTTTCTTTTTTTTTTTTTTTTTTTTGAGACAGAGCCTCAAGCTGTCCCCCTGGGTAGAGTGCCGTGGCATTACAGCTCACAGCAACCTCCAACTCCTGGGCTCAAGCGAGTCTCCTGCCTCCGCCTCCCAAGTAGCTGGGACCACAGGCACCCGCCACAACGCCCGGCTATTTTTTGGTTGCAGCCGTCATTGTTGTCTTGGCGGGTCCGGGCTGGGGATTCGAACCCGCCACCCTAGGGGTACGTGGCTGGCGCCTTAGCCGGTTGAGCTATAGGCGCCGAGCCATGCTGTCATTTTCAAAACTCTTCAGTTTCTCTGATGAATAGGACGGCTGAATTTACTCGTACTTACCAGGCACTTCTTTTGTAGTCCATAAAACCTAACGAATATACCCATCTCCTAAAGCTGTACTGAAGGTTGTGGGCGTGTGTCTGTACTGCCTGTTAGTGTGCATACACAGCATGTGCATTTTTCTGAGAAGTGGTTAAGAAACACTGATCCCCCCCTTCCCTGCTCCCCAACAAGGTGGCATGTATGTGTGTGCGTGTGCACATGCATGAGGATTTCCTCTGTCCTGTTTGGGATAGTTTACCAGTTTTTCCATTTGTCTACTCTTTATATTTGTGGTGGCTTTTATTGTAGAACTTTTCAACTCTTACACGTTAAGAATGATTCCCCCCTTTTCCTGTGTGACCTCTTTCACCATTTCTATGCTTACAAACTCCTTGTTGGTCATTAAATAAATACTCATCTGCATTTCTTCTAGCTTCCTATGGCTTCCATTCCATTTTAACTATGTAACTTCCATTTAACTTTAATTCATCTGGAATTTATTTTCCCATAGATTTGAGGAGAAATTTTAAGTTTATATTTCTTCCAAAGGGTTAACCAATTATTATAGTACCATTTATTGAATAATCCTTCCTTTTGCACTGATTTTGATGATATCAAACTCTTAAATACACGTCAAGGTCTGTTTCTAATTCCACTGGTTTATCATAGTAGCATTACAGTCTTTGTTCATATTGACATAAAACCTGATCACTACTTTTAAAAAAATTTCTTGACTACTGTAATTGAAAGTTATAAATCATATTTTTCCAGTTATCTCTCATTCCTTCTTTTCCATTCTTCCAAAAAGAAAGTCCTATTGACACTCTAATTAAACTTAAACCTGTAAATGAGGCTGAGAAGAATTTACAGCAGATACTGTCTGTCTTATACGCAGTCACATGAAAGAAATCTCCCCAGTTACATTTTTTTTTTTTTTGAGATAGAGTCTCACTATGTTGCCCTTGGTAGAGTGCTGTGACATCACAACTCACAGCAACCTCAAACTCTTGGGCTTAAGCAATTCTCTTGCCTCAGCCTCCCAAGTAGCTAGCTGGGACGACAGGTGCCTGCCACAAAGCCTGGCATTTTTTTGTTGTTGTTGCAAACTGTTATTGTTGTTCAGATGGCCCAGGGCTGGGTTTGAAACCACTAGCCCCGTGGAGGATGTGACCAGTGCCCTATCCCTGTGCTACGGGTGCTAAGCCCAGTTACAGTTTTTGGTTAGTTTTCCTCATACATTAGCATAAGGCTTGTAGAAAAACCATTGATTTTTATACATTTATCTTATATCCCACTATCTAAATGGTAGTTAAAATTTTAAATAGATTCTAATAGTTCTTTAATTTCTTTCTTTCTTTCTTTCTTTTTTTGGAGACAGAGCTTGTAGCAACCTCAAACTCTTGGGCTCAAGTGATCCCCCTGCCTCTGGGACTACAGGTGCCTGCCACAATGCCCAATTAGTTTTTCTGTATTTATTAGAGACTGAGTCTCACTCTGGCTCAGGCTCATCTGGATCTCCTGAACTCAGGCAATCCACCTGCCTCAGCCTTCCAGAGTGGTAGGTTAAGCTGATTTCTTGAGGTTCCCTATCTTCCCTCCCTAAAAACAGCTTTAGTCCTCCTTGTAAAATATATACATTTACTTTTCCTTATTTTATACATATGTAGTAGTCCTTTAGTATCTGCAGGGGACTGATTCCAGGATCGCCTCCAAAATCTACAGATTCTTAAGGCCCTTATGCAAATGGCAAAGTAACTGCACATACCCCATACACATTCCCAGGCATACTTTAAATCATCTCTAGATTGCTTGTAATACTTAACACAATGTAAATAGTTATACTATATAGTTTAAGGAATAATGGCAAGGGAAAAAATGTCTATACAACTTCAGTACAGATGCCATTTTTCTTCAAACATTTCCATTCTGAAGTTGGTTGAATCCATGGATGCAGAACCCACAGATTCAGAGGGTCAACTGTATGTATATATAGGGTATTACAAAAGTTTTGAGGTAGACAAAAATCAAGAAATGTAAAATCTGTATGGATAGAAACAAACGATGCCCTCCCAGCAACACTAATAAGCTGAGCAAGTTGAAACCTGCAGTGGTTTATCAGAAAGGATGATGTCGACTAATGTTTCTTGGAAGTGAAATAATGAACCATAACACCGTCTGTCTCAAAAGTTTTCTGCTGACCTACTCTCCATATACATACTGTAGATATAGCCATCTGTAGTTTAAAAATGCAGCAAAACTGGGGAAAAAATTAGAAAGTCAAAACTGTCAATAGAATGACTTAAGAGATTGTGACCCAGAGCTAGATAAGACATGAAAAAGCCAGAATTTAATCATAAACCAATATAATATTTACAAGAAAAGAAAAAATATGGAAAGTCAGATTCCATCAAATGCAAAGAGGTTAACAATTTCTTAAGAGCATAAAGAATTCCTTAGGGGCGGTGCCTGTGGCTCAAAGGAGTAGGGCACCAGCCCCACATACGGGTGATGGTGGGTTCAAACCTGGCCAAAAAAAACAGCAAAACAAACAAACAAAAAAAAAACCAAAAAAACAATTCCTTAGGAGAATAAAGAATTCAATAGCTTTAAAGTATGTTAACAGCAAAACAGAAAAAAAATTTTTTTGAGACAGAGTCTCACTATGTTGTCCTTGGTAGAGTGCTGTGACGTCATAGCTCACAGCAACCTCAAACACTTGGGCTTTAGTGATTCTCTTGTCTCAGCCTCCCAAGTAGCTGGGACTACAGGCGCCCACCACAACACCTGGCTATTTTTTTGGATGTGGTTGTTGTTGTTTGGCAGGCCTGGGCTGGGTTTGAAACCACCAGCCCAAATGCATGTGGACAGCACCCTAGCCTCTGAGCTACAGGCACTGAACCAGAAAAATAAATATTTTAAAAGAAAAATTAAAAACCAACAAAGCAGTTAAGGTAATTGGCTACAATCTTATGAGGACTACCGACATCCCTAAGTGGATAATTAGATTCCTGTTAAAAATTCTTTTAGTGATTGTTAAAAGGGGCTCAGCCCTATTAGGGCAATGAGAAAAATCAGGAGTTTCAGATCTCATTGCTGACTGAAAAGAATAAGCACTGAGAAAGTAGTAATTGTCTCCCTTGTGGGTCTCTTTAATCCCAGGGGGAGTTAAAAATTTTAAGCAGAGAGTTTCTGCATAATCTCTCTTGTGCACCAAAGCCATCCCCCAAGAACACTGAAATACTGACATTACAATAAAAAAAAAATTACCTGTGAGTCTATCTTTGGGCTATAACTACTGGTATTATGACACTCTGTACGCTTTCAGACTTTTTACATGACATTATAAATGTTGTTTTGCGATTTTCCATTATGCCTTAGAATAAATTCATAGGATAAAATTACTGATTAGATGATACGAACATAAGCTTTAATACTGCTAAACTGCCCTCCAGATTGTACCAATTCATACCCCTTTCAACAATGAACGTGAGTGCCTATTTTCACAAACTCGAAGCAAATTAAGGATTATCAATTTTTAAATTTTTGGTGATCTGGTAAAGCTGAATTTTTTTAAATAAGATATAGCTACTTGGATTTCTTCTTTCATTCATCTTTTTGTTTTATCTTTTGCCCATTTTTCTACTAGAGTGCTTTTTCCTTTAGTTCCTGGAATTTACTCATTAAGGTACTCATACCTAATGAGTTATTTCATTTCTTCCGCAACCTTGATTATTATACTGAGTTTTTGTTTTGTTTTTCTGAGACAGAGCCTCAAGCTGTCACCCTGGGTAGAGTGCTGTGGCATCACAGCTCACAGCAACCTCCAACTCCTGGGCTTAAGCAATTCTCCTATCTCTGCCTCCCAAGTAACTGGGACTACATGCGCCTGCCACAATGCCCGGCTATTTTTTTATTGCAGCCATTATTACAGTTTGGTGGGCCCAGCT